CAATTATATAATCAACAATCTAGAAAGAATAAAATAAAAACCAATATATTTAGGATCCACATGGTATATCCCCTCAATCTATCTGATTTAATAATTCATTCCCCAACTTTAAACATATTAACATTAAATAATCAACTGTATATTTTAAAACATATATATTTTAAGGTATCCTCCCTGAAGTTGCCAAAAATAGCTTCTTTATATAGCTTTTTTTTAATCCTCCAATATAAGGGTTCAGAACAGCATAATTCACATACAATTTTATATATATCCAGTATATAGTTACATAATCCTAAAATAATTTCCAGCAATTTTAAACTAAGTGCCAGTATACATTCCCATGTGAAATCCCCCTTATATAATCCCTAACCCTATCTAATCCCATCTATCTATTTCTATCTATATCTGTCTATCTACTCATCCATTATCTTTGTGTCTGTCTGTCTGTCTGTCTATTTGAATTGGTCAAACAAAAACGAGAACAGAATAAAAGAATAAAAATGCAACGACGGGGACGATAGGCGTGTTAGTGCCCTTACGTTCGCTCCCTCTACTAACCACTTAATCGCCTTCCTGCCCCCCCCCAGCCCACCTGGCATCTCTTGGGCCCTCTAAGCCCCTGTAGATGCCACCACGGCTCCTCTTTTTGTGCCCCCCTCAGGACCAGTCACTGGGAAACTGGCAGATCAAGCGCCAGAATGGAGAAGACGCCCCCATTAGCTACAGGTTCCCTCCCAAATTCACCTTGAAGGCCAACCAGCTGGTCACGGTGAGCAGCAACGGTGGGCTTGGCGGGCAGGACCCGTTGGGGGTCCCGGGATGGGGGAGGCGAGATGCCAGGAGGAGCCCCCCCCCCGCCCCGCTCCTCTGGCGCCTGTGCCCTGAAAGCGGGATCAGCCTCTTCTTCTCTTCCTTCTCCTGCAAGATCTGGGCTGCGGGTGCGGGGGTGTCCCACAACCCCCCCACGGACATGGTCTGGAAGAACCAAAGCTCGTGGGGCTCCGGCGACAGTCTGCGCACGGCCCTGCTCACCTCCACTGGAGAGGTAAGGCGGGTGGGATTCGGGGGTGAGCCGGCGGGAAGACCCCACCGCAAAGGGGTAGACCTTGCCGTTGGAAAGGGAGACAAAACCCTATTCGGTTAATTCAATTAACTTAACTCTGGATTGTGTCATTAATCACTCTGTCCGGACTGACCCTGGACAGCCTCCAAATACAATAAAAATGCAATAAAAACAGAGTTAGAACAACCATTAGAAATATAGGAGGAGTTATAATTACCAAAAAAAATAGACTGTTATGGCTGCATCATTGTAAAAATGACTGAGGAGAGGCTAGCTCCACTTTGCCCCCCCCCCTCGGTTGCCTCTTTTCCTCGTCAGATGAGGGGCCACCTCCCCCTAATTTGGTTGCCTAAAAATGCCCCTTCCCCCTAAATACATTCTGGAAATCCAGATGATGCCTTTGTGACTCTTTTGATTCCCGTTTAATTTTGAAACAATGCAGAGCCTGTCAAAACAATTATAGCAAGGGGGAGGCGGCACCTGGGACCCCCTGGATTAACAAGGGGAGGGGGGCTGTCGGTGGACACATCCTGGCCCTTTTCTTGGTGCCAGTGGGGAAGGGGCTTTCCTCTCCTGGTACGGGGAAGGCGCAGTTGAGGGTGCCAAGGCCCGAGCCCCTCTTCCTGTCTGCCTGCTTTCCTGGCTGTTTCCCTCCCAAATCCTCCTGAGCTGGGGTGGACCAGAATCAGCCCTCCCCCGTTTCTCCCTCCCTCCCTGCAGGAGGTGGCCATGCGGAAGTTGGTGCGCACGATTGTTGTCAATGATGAGGACGAAGAGGACGATGAGGATGGCATCCATGGCCACCATCACCATGTGAGTTATTTGGGGGGGGGGAGGCCTCTGCCCACCTCCCGAGGGCTGGGTTCAAATGGGGAACAAACACAATTCAGCAGCACTCCTCGGGGTGGTTTTCGAAAATGCAAACAGCTTTGGTTGTGGGGCAAAGATGTCAGGGTGATGATTCAAGAGCTGACCAGCTGTTATATAATGATGGAATGCTAGGAAGGAGAGAGCAAGGTTTTTGGGCTGATATCACTTTAAGAGCTGTAATAAAAAGAGGCCCTGTTGGGGTGCATCTCTTTCTCTCCGTGTGCTTCCCTGCTGTACTTGCTGATTGCTCTTTGTTTGAGGTCCGACTAAAGTATGTGCGTATGTATATATTCGTTGTAGATAAAACCACTATTTAGATACAAACCTCCCGTGGGAGAAATTCTTCCTCTGAAGCTGACTTTTTAAAATCAGGCTCTGCAGAGAATTTTGTTGTCTTTGTTAGTCTGCAACTGAGATTAAGAGTGCATTCAGAGGATAAAAAAAGACTTCCCCCCCAAAAAATAGCAATGAAAGCAAGCATACATGTGAAATAATCCTCAGTGTTTATAAATTATTTTAATTATTCTCAGGTGTACAGATTGAAATCTTTATACCAATAAAGGAGGATATTGGTAGCTCAGAGTTAAAGCGAGGGATCCTCGGTGTGTTCTCTGAGCTTGCTGGCTTTCTTGCAGGCGCTTCTGAAATATCTATATACCCCTCCTTGTTTTAACAAAATGACAAAGAATGTTAGTAAAGCCAGTACTTATTTATTTACCGTTTGTTTTATTCATTAAATGCACATGCCACCTTGTGTCACTGACTCAGTCACTGTCCCTTTGCAGGGAGAGTGGGTGGAAATGATGCTAGGTGAACTCGGGATGGAATCTTCCCAGCATCCACAGCCACTTAAAAAAATACAAAACAAACATCTCTTAATCTAAACCTGAAATCGGAATAAGAGAAGTGTTGCCTTTGTGTATATCGGACACTTCAGACCACGTTGGAAATCCAGTTTAATATTCAGCTGGTTAACGTGCTCGCATTTAACAGGCCTGTGGATTGAACAAGCCTGTTAAAGAGAAAAATGGGTTTAGCTTCAATCCAGATGTAATCTTTTTATTTCTGGAATAAATCAATGTAACGTATATTCTACCCTGGGCCATTTTTTTAAGAAGTCATTGTGGGTTCCAGAGTCCCAGACAAGCCAAGAGTCAAAAGGGTTGCAAGATAGGAATCTGACAGAAGGAGCATTTTTAGCTCAGGGTTGACCTGTGGGGGTCCTTGGAGCTCTTGGGGGCAGATGTTTCACGACCCAACTGGGTCACATCTTCAGTGTGCTGATGAAGTTGCCTAGTTTGGTAATAAAACATCCAAGTTCACAGAGCGCCAAGGACCCCACAGGTACGAATCCAGCACCTCCAGCCCAGATGGGGTTTCGGCCCGGAGGGTGCCAAGCGTTGCTTCTTACCTTCCTTCCTTCCTTCTGCAGAGCCACTGCAGCGGCAGCGGAGATCCGGGCGAGTACAACCTGCGCTCCCGCACGGTGTTGTGTGGGACGTGCGGGCAGCCGGCGGAGAAGTCCTCCGGGGCCACGAATGTGGGCACCAGCACCATGTCTACCGGCTCCTCCTCCTCCAGCCTGACCATCACGCGCAGCTACCGCAGTGGAGGCACCAACCTCGGGGAGAGCCTCCTGCCCCGCTCCTACATCCTGGGCAGCTCCACCCCACGCCAGCAGGTCAGTGCCAGCGGGCAGGTGGGACCCTGGGCCGGAGGAGGCGGCTTTGTGGTGGGAGCCCTCCAACTGGGAGTGGCCCTCCCTCCTCCTCCTCCTCCTCCTCCCGTTGCTGGGGAGGGCATGACGCATAGGACGGTGTGTCGGGGCTTTAAGACGCTTCCAGGCCGGCAGAGAGTTGGCAGAGCTTCCTGTGCCACACAGGGCTCCTCGGCCGGGGCATTTTGGATTGGTGGGGGCAAGAAAGAAATCCTGGGATGGTCCCCGCTGAACAGCATGTGGGGGGTGGGTGGGTGGGCTGAAAACCCTGACAGGCTGCATTCTGTGGGGCGGTGGTGAGAGTGCAGTACTGCAAGCTACTTCTGCTGACTGCCAGGTGCCTCTGCAACTTGGCAGGTCAAATCCCACCAGGCTCCAGGTTGACTCAGCCTTCCGTCCTTCCGAGGTGGGTAAAAGGAGGACCCAGATTGTGTGGTGGGGGGGGGGGGGGCGAGGGGCTGACTCTGTAAACCGCTGAGAGAGGGCTGGAAAGGCACCGTGAAGCGGCATAGAAGTCTAAGGGCGATTGCTATCCTGGCTTTGCAAAGTTCACATGAGAGCAATAAGCTGCACTTGGCTTTGTGCCCTGGGGGGCATGTCCTGTCTGGCACGGTATATGGTCTGCTGCTTGAACAGGGGTTGGACTAGAAGACCTCCAAGTGCCCTTCCAGCCCTCCTGTTTCTATGAAACCCTCTTGGGGGTGGTTGGAACAAGGGAGGTACAGTTTGGGTATCGTGTCTCGCCCCCTGTGGAACATCGCCCACGGACCCCCATCCCTCCCCCCCCCGCCAAGCAAATGGAAGTGGCCCTTTGCAGGGCCTGCTTGGTGGCTGCACTGGAGGGGGGGTGGAGGCTGTCAAAGATGCCCCTGAGCTGGGGGACTTTTTGTGCAGAAAACTTTGCACTTTGGAAAATTGTTTTGATAGCTGCCTCCCCTGTTCCTCCCTGGCGTTCGGGAACTTGTGCCCATTTTGGGTCGCACTGATCGATTGGGGTGCAGAAATGGGGCCGGAGTGAGATTGGAGCACCCAAAGAGAGTCTTAGCTGGGAGGGAAGGCCCTGTTTTTTTGGACTGGCAGCCACAACTCGCTTGCTGGTATTTTGAGGGAGGCCCGATTCTAGATCGGCCCTGAATTTGGAATTAAGGAGAAATTCCCTGATTGTGAGAGCAAATTAGTCAGTGCTCCATCAACCCCCGGGGGGCCTTTAAGAAGCGACCGGACAGCCATTTGTGTGGAATGGTAGAGGGTCTCCTGCTTGGTCAGGGGGTTGGACTAGATGACCTCTGGGGGCCCCTTCCAGCTCTGTAAGTCTGTCTCCTCTCTCTCTCTCTCCCCCCCCACCGCTTAGGTTCCTTCGAACTGCAGCATCATGTAACCTTCCGACGTTCCCCGACATGCACTCAAATTCTGCTTCGTGAAGCTCTTCTATCCTTAACATGCTCAGAAAAAAAAAGAGGAAACCATTTTTTTAAAAAAAGTTATTTTCTATGCAAGAATTTATACTTTATTATATATCTCTATATATCTCTCTATATATAAATACGCTAAAGATGCTTCAGGGTTTTTTAAGGGGGTTGGGGGAGGTCTTTTTTCCTATCGCGAAAGTTTAAAAGGAGCCCTGCCAAAGAGATTGTGATGTATGGTTGCCAAAAAGAAAAAAAAAAGAAGTCCTGGAATTTTAATGTTTTCCTTCCAGTAAGGGGGAGCGTGCAAATAGTGCAAATAGGCATGGTACATGCGTACGTGTGTGTACGTGTGTGTACGTGTACGTGTACGTGTGTGTGTGTGTCCTTGAATACCAAAGCTTTTCTTTTTGAAAAACGAAAAAAAAAAACGTTTTTTTCTTCTCCTGGGCCAGAGTTTGTCAACTTCATTAACTTTAAGATGGGTGGACTTCAACTCCCAGAATTCCCCAGCCAGCGCCCCCTCCCTCCCCCCCATCTTAAAGTTGCCGAGGTTGTGAAACACTGCTCCAAGGTAAACTCCTTCAATGTGTTGCACTTAACTCTCTCCCTGTGAGGGGTGTTGACCACTAACTAACTATGGTTAACTCCGGCCTTGCTCCCCAGAGATCCATGATGCACTTAAGAGTCCAACTCTTTTGAAGACACTACAAAGCCAAGAGTTTTGTTTACATTGTGAAAAATGGGAGGGAGACTTCCGTACTGAACCCATTTTGGGTTGCAGTGATACATGGGGGTGGGGAATGTCCCCTATTAGGGTTCTCAACTCTGGCAAGTTTAAGGTGGATGAACTTCAACTCCCAGAATTCCCCTGCCCAGCTATGGCGGGGGGGGGGGGGGAGACTGCGGCATCCTGGGAGTTGAAGTCCACCGGCTTTAAAATCGCCAAGGTTGAGAAACGTGAATTTAATCCACTCCAGCCCAAATCAGGTTGTTTAATACCTGCATTAAAAACACTTTAAGAGGCACTAATTCAGGGATTCTTGAATTAAAATCCAAATTACCCTTACTTTAGATCAGAGGGATCTTCAAACTGGACAGCTTTAAGGCTTGTGGACTTCAACTCCCAGAATTCCTCCTCCTCCAGGCATGTTAGTTCAGGAATTCTGGGAGTGGAAGTCCACAAGTCTTAAAACTTGCCAAGTTTGAAGACCCTTGAATAGAACTTCTAAAAATATCTGCTCTACATTGCTCGCTCTTCCAAAAAAGCCAGGTGTTTCAGGGAGCCCCTTTGTACTTTTTAAACAAAATTTGATTTCACTCCCCCTGCCAAAAAAAAAAAAAAACCTATTCCATTGTCCAAACTTCACAGTTTTAAGGGGGGAAATGTAAGTTTACAGCCCCTCTTTGCTTCGAGGAATGTTTAGTAGAAAAGTTGGGAAGCACTTTGTTTTTGCACGTGGCCTTCCATGTCCTCTTTGTAAGAAAGAGAAGCTGCCTTTAGATCAGGGGTCTCCAACCTTGGCCCCTTTAAGCCTGGAGGACTTCAACTCCCAGAATTCCCCAGCCAGCAAAGAATTCTGGGAGTTGAAGTCCGCCAGGCTTAAAGGGGCCAAGGTTGGAGTCCCCTGCTTTAGTTGCTTCTTGGCCAATGCTTTGCTTCAGCGCCAATGCTGATCTCTGCGCCCGGCCCCTTGCCCAACCCTACCAATGGCACACGGTGCCTGAGCATGTCAAGAGTGCCTTGCCGTGGGGGTGGGGTGGGGGTGTAGAAGTGGGCTCCCTGTGTCTGGGCTTCAGGCTGCTTTCCGGAACAGTGAAGAAAACGACTGGAGAGAACAAAAGTGCCTTCAAGTCCCCTGTGTGGTGGGATTCGCTGGATTTCTAGTCAAAGCGTCCCAAGTCCAGGGGGCAGATGTGGGTCTTCGGCCTCCGGCTCCTCCTCTGAAGCAGAGCTGAGGCCTTTTGGCCGTGGGGGAGGTGGGGAGAGAGGGGGGTGCCAGCTATGCTGTCCAAAATGGGGCCGCCACTCTGCTTCCCCAGGAGGCCCACTTGGAGCCGAGATCACGCAGCCCCGTTGGGTGCCTGGAGGTCCAGGTTAAGTCCTTGTATGCGGTTTGGACCTTGAGCCTGTGCTGGCTGGGGGAATTCTGGGAGGGGAAGTCCGCCTGTCTTAAAGTGGGCCAGGTGGAGAAACCCTGGCTTAAGGGGATGGTCTTCAACCTGATGCTCCTCCGCCTTGGATGATGGGTAGTTGGCCTCCTGACCCCCCCCCCCCCGGCCCCCTCCCTTGGGCACCCCCGCCCCAGGGGACCCGGGAGGGGATCCCACGTAAAAGGGCCAGATCCCTGCCCCCCCACCAGGTCCCAGAACAGCCCCTCTTCCGCTTGGAGGATTTGCTGGGAAAGGGGAAAACCCCCCTTGTGGGGAGGGGCTTGGCTTCTCATCAAGGGGAGGGGGGAGGATTTCCCCCCCCAACTCTGCTGCTTTGGCTTCCCGGGAAGGAGGAAGCGGTGCAAGGGTCTCCAACCGTGGCCCCTTTTAAGACCCGTGGACTTCCAAGTCTTTGCTGGCTGAGGGATTCTGGGAGTTGAAGTCCACCAGTCTTAAAAGGGGCCAAGGTTGGAGACCCCTGCTCTGGAGGCAGCCCGTGGATGTCTGCTGGTGGGGGGGAGGGCCAAGCCTGAACCCCTCCCCCCCAGCCTGTCCCGTTCAGTTTTCCCAGCGTAGACGGTTCTTCCAGCTGCGACCGGGGTAGGGAGCGGGCGCTGGGTCTCTGGCTCCTGCGCCGGGGGGGGGGGGGGGGTCTCCCCTGCCCCCACCCCCCCTTTTCTTTCTCCTGCCATTTATCTGTTTTGCACTTGGAGGGAGGCGGGGGGGGGGGAGGATTTTGAAAACTCTTCTGAGCGCTGCCTCTTTCCTCAGGAACCCTGGCAGGATCCAGCCCCCGTGGCGGTGGTGGGGGGCCTGATCCCTTCACAGGGGATGGCAAACCTGCCTTTTAATGGGGGAGGGGGCACCAACTAAAGCCAGCCCACTGCTGGTTCCTGGCTGGTGCAGATGCTTTGCTGATTGAGGTGGGTGGGTGGGGGGTGAATGTCTTCTCTGCTCCAGCTGCCCCCCCCTCCTCTTGCCAGCCTCTTTCTCAGCCCTTCTAGGAAAGGGCACCACCTGGAGCAGCTCTGCAGAGAAGCCCCCCCCCTCCTCCCTTTTTCCTTGTGCTGTTAATTTGGGATGCTGTCGTGGGGGGAGGGGGCCTGCCAAGGGCTGCTCTGATGGCGACTGTGCAGTATTTCTGTATTTTCTTAAACCAATATAGTTATCCAAAAAGAGAACGGCTGTTGTGTTTCTTTCATCGGGAAGGGGGGGGGGTGTCCAGGGGGGGGGGGGCTGCCAGTGGGGGAGGGGGCATTGCTTTGCTTGAGGTTCCCACCCCTGGCAACTTTAAGACTTGTGGACTTCAACTCCCAGAATTCCTCAGCCAGCAAAGCTGGCTGAGGAATTCTGGGAGTTGAAGTCCACAAGTCTTAAAGTGGCCAAGGTTGGACACCCCTGATTTAAAGTCATCACGCTGCCTCTCCGCACACCTAACCTCACCTGTTGGGATGCTGTCTGAGGATGGAGGAGGAGGCGACCCATAGAAGAATATCTTTGGGGGCGGAATGGGGCTGGCATTGCCCTCCAGAGCAGGCCTCTCCAACCTTGGCCACTTTTAAGACTTGTGGACTTCAACTCCCAGAATTCCTCAGCCAGCTTTGGAATTCTGGGAGTTGAAGTCCAAAGTCTTACAAGACGGCTAAGGTTGGAGCGCCCTGCTCCAGAGGATGGGAGGGTCAGTCAAGAACTGAGCCAGAGCTCAGGGCCCCCCCCCCCCCACACCAGCCCCACGGCCCCAGGCAGGGCCTGCTCTTTCTGGAGGACACATCCCTCCCACGCGAGGCCCCTGACCCGGTCAAGGTGATTGGCGGGAGGACCTGCCAATCCATCCGCAATGCTGCGACTCACCTGGAGGAGAAACCTGGAGGAGGTGGGCAGCGTGCAGGAGCTCCAGGTGGCCTGCTTGCTTCCAACTGGGGGGGGGGGGGGGGGGGGCGGGGGACGGGGGGGGGGGGTCCTTTCGGTCTGTGAGCCTCGGATGGGGGTGGGCCCACGGGGGGGGGGGGGTCTCCTTCCCTGCCCTTCTTCCCATTGTGGGGTCCTCCCCCCCCTCACAAGCAGGCCCTGCTCCCCAAAGCACCGCAGGGCACGACGAGAAACGAAGGGCGGGAGGTCATTAAGAAGAGACCCAGCCTGGAATGGAGGCATTTCCTGACAGTGGGAACAATCCAGTAAGCTTGCCTGCCAGAATGGTGGGAGCTTCATCACTGGAGGTTTTCAAGGAGACCCATTTGTCTGGAATGGTAGTCTTGTTTGCTTGAGCAGCGGGCTGGACTAGAAGACCTCCGAGGCCCCTTCCGATTCTGCTGTTCTGTGTGGATAGCCCTCCCTGCTCACGACACTCCCCTCCCCTTGGAAGGAGGAGAGGCCCCCCCCCCTGGGATCATGTGATGGGAGCAGTTTTGAAGCCGGTCCCTTAAGTAGAAAAGGCAGCAGCTGAGGAAGTGGGAGGCCTTTTGATTTTAACCTTGGATCCCAGAAGCGATAAGGTAACCAGGTGGCCGGGAGACCTTGGTCTAGCAGCCAAGAGTAATTGAACCCAGGCGGTGGCCTTCAAAAACAGTTTAATCAACCCAGAGCACTGATAAAAAGGCGCTCCTGTTCCTTGTACATCAAGCAGCACAACAATTGCAAAACAATTCCACCCAGGAGGAAATGCAGACGTTCTGTTGATGGGATGGTTTATTGATCAAATGTAGAATCTGCCCCTCTCTCTCGCTCACTGAGGGGACTCTGGGCAGCGTACAAGTGAAATATTAAAACATAAACACTTCATAAAAATTTCAGAAGAGGCGAAGATAATTTAAACCCAAAACTAAATGCCAGCACGGCTCCCCTACAATCTTAGGAAAGGTCTGGAAATTAAAACAGGAATGGGAAGTCCAGACAAATAGGCTGGAGCTGTTG